TGTGTAAATGATCATCGATGAGATGCTTATGATAAGCCGTTGTTTGTTTACCTTCAAGCTTTGCGTGCGCCTATGAGCGCCTGCACACACATATTATGAACATCTCGACATGCGAAAGTGATCCTGTGAAAGTTGTTCACAATATTGATCATCCACAGAGTTTGTAATTTAGTCAAATGTTTACAAATACAAGCGCAGCCGTTTAAAGCTCATTTGTGGGGAATGATGTCAGAATTTACCGGTATTTTGGAATGGATGTGTGAATGCTGTTTTCCGGAAAATTTTCGTAACGTCCTCGTCTGTGTGAACAGCGCTTTTTTGAATATACCGGTAAAGTTGTTCCGGAAAATTTCCGGATATTTACCGGTATCACTGTGTGAAAGGGGCTAAAGTCACAACCACTTACTACGTACAAACTGGCACAGTTAGCGGTCTACTCTTGGGAAGTTATGGAGACCTAACTGATCTTGTATCCCTCCTAATGCTTATTGACCAGGCAGGAGCCTTGGGCTCATCTATCTCCGAGCTCAGGGTTCTCTCCCTGGACAGCATGCCAAATCTGCTAAAGTAGTCAAGCATTATCTGTGAACTCTTGAAACATATTTGGGTGTAAACTGGGCCAGAATTTTTTATTTGATCTTTCCCTGGTTTTGTTTCTAGGCTCTAATATTTGCACTTCTAGAGGAGTCAGTACCTGTAAAGAATGTCTTTCGATTCACCCGACTTGTGCCTGGTGCTCTCAGGAGGTAATAAACACAATTTTACTCACATGCAAAAATCACACCCGTACAGATGCACAGATGACCGTTTGAAATGCTTCAGTATGTTTGCTATCATGGATTTGTGTTTGTGTGTATCTGTCAGGTCTTTCAAAAGGGAGGGTCGGCCCTGTCTCGCTGTGATCTGAAAGACAATATCATTCAGTCTGGATGTTCTGGGAAGTTTATTGAGTTTCCGGTCAGCAGTGTGAAGATAGTTGAGAACATACCTCTGAGTGACAAGGCTGGGGGTTCAGGCAGTGACATCACTCAGATCCAACCTCAAAAAATACAGCTCACCCTCAGGCCAGGTATGCAGTGTTATCAAAACAAGCCTTCTACTGTACACTGGAAAAAAGCTTTCATTCAACCAGTTTAAAAAAAAAAATAGGGTAATGGTTCACATCTAAATTTTATCACTTGACCCAATGAAAAATAAATGAATAAATAATTTGCTTTAAACAATATTTTCTATTTCAATGAGAACATTTTATATAAATTGGTACAAAACATCTTGTTGAAGAACGTCAAATAATTTAAATTCTTATTTTGTTCTTAACAAGAAGATATAGCTTCAATCAAAACAACAATTCCCATCAAATGTTCATTTATCCAATAATAAAAAATAAGGTAATGGTTTCACATCTGAATTTGATCACTCGAGCCAATGAAAAATAAATCATTTGCCTTAAACAATATTTTTTAATTCCATAAAAGTACAAAGCACATTAGGGTCCTGTTAAATATACATGCACTGGCCTGGTGAGTTACCTTAAAATTGTACATTAGTCAAACCAAATATTTCTTAGTTGAGCTCTTAATCAAAAAAAAAAATAAAATAAAATAAATAAATAAATAAATAAATAAATATATATATATATATATATATATATATATATATATATATATATATATATATATATATATTTTTTTTTTTTTTTTTTTTTTTTATTATGTTTGAACTTAAAATATATTACTTGAAAAATAAAACAAACAATATTAAACTGAAATGAAAGATACATTTTTAATTGGATCAGAGGCGGATTTACTAATCTGAGGACCCTAAGCAGTTCCAGCCATGTTGCCCAAAAGTTCTAAAATGCAACTTTTCTACTTTCATTTATTTTTAATTGATTTATTTTGCTGTTTTTAATTACTAAATATCATTTTCTACATTTTGTTCTAATGCAAAATTATAAGAACAACGTAAAGAGTCTTGTAAAACTTTTTTATATGATTTGTTTAATTAAAATTAATTCACAACTAAAAACAACATGAACTATTTTATTTTTAAAACTAATCTTTCAATAATTTGACTGCTGGACTGCTCCATGATTGAGGGTAGGTGAAACATTTTCACATTTGCGATGTAATACAATTTAAACATTTTTTAGACCCTCATCATACAGAAAATGATGGAAAATGATGTTAGATTTAATTAATAGGTATAATTTATACCTCTAGGTATTTATTTGGGAGCCCTCAGATTTTCTGGGGCCATATTATTATTAATAAAAGTGAATGTGACATATACAGTAATGTAATGGAACAGCAGGGTTGGGCAAAAACACATTGAAATTTTAGGTGTATCAAAATAAACTACAAAATACAGCAGCCACAACATGTGTGTATCAAAATAAAATACTGGATTTTGTATTTTAAAAATACTACAAAATACTTTTACAAAGGAAATCTTTGCAAATCTTTCATCAGTCAGATTTATTCGATCAATCCCTTCCACATTAACTTTTTTGCTGTTGAACTCTTCAATACTCAATATAAAAACTGTTTGAGGAGATTTTGATCATTAAATAACTGTGTTTGATATTTTGTGACATCTTAAGGCTTACATCTTTGATCTTCATTAACTATAAAGACCACCTACAGATCAGCTACTGGCATTTGAAACAGCCAATTAAGTATTGTAGGAATCTCCACTGTAGGACTTATTTTGAAGTTGTTTGTTTTAACAACAAACATTTGGCATCAGCTATCCATCCAAATAAAAAGGTATAGTCTTTCTTCTAAGATTTTTTAAATTCTTCTTTAAATGGAAGAGTCAATAACATCCAAAGCATTTATATGATGTCATTATGTAGATTTCTTACAAAGTAGTTTACAGCATTTTAATACAAAAATATAAGACACTAAAGTATTTTGATACAAAATATTAACCCATTTTCATAAACCCAATCAACAAATTACAAAATACTATTTACAAACTATTAAAATACATGTATCATAAACACTGTCCTTCCCTGAGTAAGAGTAATATTCTAAAATCATAAAGATAAATTCTGATTTTCTATGAAGTTAACGCATGTTACTTAAGTTAGTGAAAAAAGCTTTGGAATACATTTCTGTCCAAATCAAAAAGAAGTCAAAACATTTATCTCTAAATTTAGAAACTACTAACCCTTTAATCATCCTGTTTCTCTTTAAGATGATTCCAGGAAATTCACCGTCACAGTGAAGCAGGTTGCTGATTACCCGGTTGACCTGTACTACCTGATGGACATGACCAACACCATGAGGAAGAACCTGCAGACACTATATACTCTGGGCAATAATCTGGCCGGAGCTTTACGTGGCGTCACCAGTAACCTGCGCATGGGATTTGGAGCATTTGTAGACAAAACTGTCTCACCGTACATGTACACTTACCCACCAGAGGTCATCACGAATCCGTGCTATAAGTGAGCTCAAATGTCCTTCATATTAAACATACATTTAACCCATCAGAGATGGTGGCTAAGTTTAGTGACTTCTGTCTCTGTGTCTGACGCAGGACTTCTGAGTTCTGCCCACCGCAGTTCGGCTATCGTAACGTGCTGTCTCTGACAGAACAGGTAGAGCGGTTCACTGAGGAAGTAAAGAAACAGAAAGTGTCCAGAAACAGGGACTCTCCTGAGGGTGGATTTGACGCAATCTTTCAAGCAGTTGTGTGCAAGGTGACACTCACAGAAATCAATTTTTGCACAATACAAAGTCTAACTGAAAAATATGTTTGTATAAATAGTAAATAGTTAATACTGTACAATGACAGGACATGAATAATTATGCACTTATATGTTAATTAAATGCTATTTTTTATGAGGTAATGATGAGTTAAGGCATGTGCTAATTTGGAACTATCTTTAACATGTCACAAAATTTTTAGTGTGATTAATGCATTCCTTAATTGCGTTTAAGTACATCTTTGTTAATAAAAGTATTAATCAACTCTTTAGTTTTATCTAAATGTAACCAACATGAACCCATGACCATGTATCTTTGTCATGAATTTACTTGGAGGGGTACATTATCATTAACTCATTCTAAACCAGGGGCGGATTGGCCATCTGGCAAATGCCAGAAGGGCTGGACCATTTTTGGTCACACTTTACAATAAGGTTCATTAGTTAATGTTAAGTAATGCATTTACTAACATGAACAAACAATGAACAATACATTTACTACAGTATTTATTCATGTTAGTAAACGTTAGTTAATGAAAATACAGTAGTTCATTGTTAGTTCATGTTAACTCATGGTGCATTACCTAATGTTTACAAGCAAGGACTTGAATGTTAATAATGCATTAGTAAATGTTCAATTATGATTAATAAATGCTGTACATGTGTTGCTCATGATTAGTTCATGATAGTAAATGCATTAACTAATGAACCTTATTGTAAAGTGTTACCCCATTTTTTATATGTGGGCCAGTCAGTTTTTTTGTTTTATGTATTGTTTTTACAAACAGGCAGCTTTTATCTCTTGCTAGATGTGAATATTATGATGATGATGAAGGTAATTATAATAATATTAATTGAATGTTAAGCATTTGGCCCAATCTGTGATGGCCGGCTGGTTTTGAGAGGGGCCGAGCCACTTAGAGGTTACGCAAACATAATCATAATCTTGCAAGAATGTCAAACAAACAGTAAGTGCAACACAAGCCAATTCTCACTGTCAGATATGGACTGTAAAAAAAGGAAAGACAGCGCCGAAAAGCTCCAAGAGAGCAAAAAAAAAAAAAAAAATTTCATGCATGCAAGCATCGCTGGCCTCACTCTCTCATGCTCTTTGTCCTAAAGCAACTACTGTATTCTCAGTGGTTGGCTGGTGGTGTGCAGAAATTACACTTATTAGTAAGCCACTTACATGCTATTTCAGATCGAATATTCAGAGTAGCATGGTAAACAAATTAGGGAGTGCGTCACTGGTTGTCATCTAAAAATTAACCAATGTGAATATAAAACCAACTTCAGCTCAGTAAAGCAGGTTGGGTGGAATAGCGCCATATACTGTTTTGTAGTTAAACTAAATAAAAATCTACATTATCGATGCTGTAAAAGGACCTTATGAAACTTAAAATAGTCACATCAAACTTTCACTGGAAGATTTCATTGGCTGAACAACACTTCTCTGCAAATAACTTATTCGTAAACATCAGCTTTGCATGACAAATAGTTTTAAAATATAAAATTACCTGTCTAAAAGAAATACTTCAGCCATGGTGTCTTCCTTCCTCCAGCGTGCAAAAGTAACTCCAACATTGATTCAGCATTTCAAAAAGTTTTGATTCAGCATTTGATTTTACTGCTGTGACAGTTTCATGTGCACATCAACGTGTGGCGCATGCTCAATGAATCTGCATGAACAGATGCGCAGTTGTACAAATCTACATTTGCTCACAGACAGTTTGGGCTACTTCTCAGAATTATGGGAATTATCGGCCTGACAGTTTTAATTGGATGAACATTTTTCAGTCCTATGCCTTACCAAGAACATAAAAATACAAATATACACATTTAGATCATTTACTTTGAATCATTACTATTGGAATGTGAAGAGACTTTCAGCCAGCACAACAAAAAATGTTCACCTACTGCACCTTTAATTCATCCTTCGTTCATAATGTTTAATTGATATAGTAGTACATCCGTATTCATGTAGTGTTATTGTAAAGTGTTACCTATAGGTAACTATGTTTATAGTTTCAAAGTCTGAAGATAATGATTTCCATTCAGTGGTGGACAGAACTAAATATTTTTATTTGTAACTAAATAACTGTATATAAAGTCACACTCACCTTTTTTTGAGAGGAAATAGGCTCATTTAACTCCCCTAGAATCACACAGTTTAAATAAATAAAAAGAAATTGAGCCCATTGGCAGGAGCACTGTTAGCTTAGCATAGATCATTGAATCAGATCCAAGAACATTAGCATCTCAAAAAAGATTAGGGGTTTGATAAATTTCATAATTAAGAGGTAATCTTCGTTTGTTTACAAATCCTACAACTCTTAATCTTCACTTTTCTGAATGTTGCCATTGTTCCAGGATAAGATCGGATGGAGGTCTGATGCATCTCATTTACTGGTCTTCACAACTGATGACATTAGCCATTCGGCTTTGGATGCCAGGCTGTCTGGAATCGTCCAGCCCCATGATGGAGAGTGCCACATAAATGACCAGAATGAATATGACAAGACCACCATACTGGTCAGCCAACACAGATTTTTTTTTTTATAGCCTAAGTGTGTAATGCTGTAATAACAGGTACTTGACATGTTTTTGCATATATTTACTGAAAGTCAAAATAATGTCTAAAGGAGACCAAATGTTAGAGTTACAGGGTGTCTGTGGAGTCTTAAAGTATTAAAAGATGATAAACCAATTGAGAGAAAATTAAGATCTTTAAAAAGTATTTAAACAACTTAAATGCTGTTTGCTAATATATTAAATGTAATTTCATGTTTGCATTATACATGTATATTTGTATAAAGACATTTTATTTATTTTTAAGGATGTTTAATCAGTTTGTTTATGGCATCCGGCTGGATTTGTTGTCATCTTCAAACTCATTCACTTTACAAGCACAAGTCCTTTGACAGACACCCATATGCTTCATACTAACTTCTTGATTGTTCTTCATTTGATTCAAAATGAAGAGCCTGATGTATGTGGTATATCTTTCAAAAACAGAAATAATGATTGCAAATTTGCCCTTTTTAGTCATCAAACTCAGAGCACAGCTAAGGCTGTTTAATTGTGTTGTCTTACAATAAATATACAGTAAATGTAAGTTAAAGTGTCACTGACATAATCTGTTCACTTTGGCAATGAGGTCTTAAAATGTATGAAAAGTGTCTTTAAAAGGTTTTTAAAAGGTATTAAATTTATCTTAATGATTCCTGTATATACCGTTGGATGGATGGTTGGATGGTTGGATGGATGTCTGATAGTGCACATATTTTTGTATTTGTAGGACTACCCTTCAGTTGGCATGATCACGGATAAGATATCTGAGAACAATATCAACCTCATCTTTGCTGTAACCAGCAATGTGGCTCCACTGTATCGTGTGAGTTTCTGCACTTTGTCTATCATCTGTCTATATAACATTTACACACGTTTATGGGAAATGTCCTGTTTCTCACAGAACTACAGTGAGCTGATTCCAGGCTCAACAGTGGGAACGCTCACTAAAGACTCATCAAATGTTGTGCAACTCATTCTGGAATTGTATGCGGTAAGTCACTGCGCCAGGAGTTATACCTCGGTGTGAGTTCTGAGAATTGGTTACTTTTTACAACATTTTAGCAAATTTTAAAGTTACTTTTATTAAGTTTTATTAAGGTTTTTTCTTTTCTTTTTTTCAGTTTATATGCTATGGTAATAACACCAGTAGTACTTAATAGTTAAGTAAATCCCATTATATCAATCAGCATTATAAGATATTGGGGAAATAAATCCCAGAAAAGGCTCACTTGAGGAAGAGAAACAAATAAAACAGCATAAAAAGGTGGGGGGTGCGTTGAAAGAGAAAAGAAGTGAATAAAGAGGAGAAAATATTAGGAAACATTTCATTTTGTGGTGAAAGCAATAGGGAATCATTGAATCATTGACAGAAAAACATAAAGTCTGATACCCATACATACCCGAAGTGCCTAGTGACAATCTCCAGCCACAGTATCCCTCTTTGAGCCAACTAAATAACTCAGGCCACTGAGGTAAGACAAGCTATAAGCTTTGAATGAAAGTATTCTGTTCCACTTTGCTGTTTATTCAGTCAAAAAAATAAAACATTTAGAAAGGAACTGCATGTATTATAGACATGTAAATGGGTCAGACGTAGTTATCAAGAGGGGATAGTTCACCTCAAAATTAAAATTTATAATTTACTCTTCCCCACTTGTTCAAAAAAAAAAAAGAAGAACTCAAAATAAGAAATACATTAGTAAGAGCGAATCAATTCTCCAATGCCTAACCTTTATGTACCATTAAAATTTACCATCCATTTGTTATGTTCATTGCTGTTTTGCCTCATTAACCTCCATTATAATGACATTTTTTGATAGCAAAGCCATGACAGCATAAAATCATGCGTTCTTGATTGTTGCAGATTTTCCCCTGTTGGAAAGAGATCAAATGTTTAATGTTTACTGTTGATTATCAGTTGGCAATCAAAAAATGTCTGTATAATGGAAGTCAGTAGGGGCAAGAACAGCCCTGAACATAACAAAAGGGTGTTCAATTTGCCCAGAGTGTGTTATTGGATTTTTAAAAATTAATTTTCAAAGTATTTTTCCAAAATATGTGTCAAAAAACATTCTATTTGTAAAAACACAGAGGAATTTATAGCCAAACTAAGCCTCGATATCACCCCTGAGTGGATTAAAACATACCCAACAGCACACAAGGGCTAATTAACATAGTTAATATAATTAACGTTGATGGGCACAGTAAGTCAAAAACTAGTTCCTTTCATAATAGTAAGTAAAATATTATCTGTCATCTGTCATCATGGCAAAGAGGATTTTATTTACACTGAAAAACTCTGGGTTCCACACAATCGATTTATGTTGGTGCAACATGAAAGAAATTTGTCTTGATGGTAACTTAGTAGTTTTTACAAATTTAAGTAGAATAAACATAAAACCATCAAGTTGTCCCCCTATAAAACCTCAAGAATTGTGTTGTTTCAGTTGTTTCAAGCCATTTCTCACAACTGAAAATGCTGCTCTCTTTTTAGCCACACTAGAGTTATAATCAGGAGAAATGAAGATCTTGGGGCTCTGATAGAAAAGGTTTCAATTTCCTCGCCGCAAAACCTTTTCTTTATCGGTTAAGTAGTGAAACCACACGATAGCTCTTTGATTATCCCGTTCAACCGAAGACGCAGGGCCAATATGGTGCTCTCTGTCCATCAATGGAGGCGCTGGAAACATCTCTGATCCAAGCACGTCCTGGAAAAAGTGCAACAAAAATGTGACCGGATCGCTTCCTTTTACTCTTTCTGGAAGGCCGATAACCACGAGATTACAAAGCTGAGAGCGCAATTCCAAGTCCTCCATTTTCTCAGTGAGTACTTTATTGGCTGAGTTCAACTTTAGCACCCTCTGTTCCAGTTAACCATTCATGTGCTGATTAAGTTCGTCACTGTGTCGATCATGTGACTCGATACTTGATTTAAAACTCAAAAGATGCAGCAACTGGAGCAAGAGCAGTGTCAATTGCAGCTTTCACCTGTTCTGCGATGGTAGAGGTTAGCTCGGTGATCAGAGTGGCACAGAGATTTTCTAGATCCAGCGGCAGCCTGCCGCCATGACTCTTTGTCGCAGCCGCCAACACTTTTTCTGCCTTTCAGACGCCATAAATCCTTCCAAACTGTATCTGTTTGATGCCCGATACAAATAGGAAACCACCAAGTGTGTTTAAAGATTCAAGCAGTCAGCTAAATATATTGAAAGACGAAATTGTTCGGGAGCTCACTTCAAGCGTGATTACCGACTCACAATCTTAACCGGATGTCGTTTCAGCTCATTTTAAATAAGTAGTTTGAACAAACAACAAACGTCATTTTTTTAAACGTATATTTGTATTGTTTGTGCCATTTGTCTTTGCAGAAAATCAGGTCTAAGGTTGAGCTGGAGCTGTTGAATGTGCCGGATGAGTTATCGCTGTCCGTCACTGCAACATGTCTGGATGATGAGGTCATTCCAGGAGTACGGTCCTGTGACGGACTCAAAATTGGAGATATGGTCAGCAACTGACGCATAAACACTGGAGAAAACCATGCTTGTTCCATTTACCAAAGTGCAGTGAGCCAAAGCAACACTTCATCAATATGTTTTATCTCTTATTTTTATTGAGTTGTGGTTAATAGTAAAAGTTAGTTTGTAAACAGACAAAAGTTTACAGTCATAACCTATAATGACAGACAAACCTGAAAGCTGCAACTGACCAATCAGGGTCAAGTATTTTAGAAAGCTGTGTATATGGGGTCGCACAACAGTTGAAATTATCGCACACCTGATGCACACATTTACATGTTATTTAAAATGAAACTATTCATATGGCACTCTGTGGTGTGGCAGGAATATGAACAGTGTTCTGAACCATTAATCCTAATCCTAAACCAAACCGTCATCCTAACGCTGATCTTATAGTAAGTAAATGTAGTTAATTACTTTTCATTTGGTACTTTATGTATGGTTAAACTGTAACAAGAACAAGGCGTGATGGCGCAGTGGGTAGTGCTGTCGCCTCACAGCAAGAAGGTTGCTTGTTCGAGCTTCGGCTGATTCAGTTGCCATTTCTTTATGGAGTTTGCATGTTCTCCCCGTGTGGGTTTCCTCCGGGTGCTCCGGTTTCCCCCACAGTCCAAAGACTTGCATTATAGGTGAATTGGGTAAGCTAAATTGTATGTGGTATGTGTGTAAATGAGTGTGTATAGGTGTTTCCCAGTGATGGGTTGCAGCTGTAAGGGCATTCGCTGTGTAAAATATCACACGTTAATCACACGACTAACACGTCTTGCGCCATATAACGCTAGGTGTATGATCGGGCCCTTTACTTTGGTCCACTTGAGTATTAGTAGACTGTCTGCTTAATACCTGTTGATATTCTCCTTTAACAGACATTTAACTGACTATAAGAAACTTTGCAAGTACATCTCAACATACACTAACCTCAACAGTCTACTTAAATCTAATGAGAATTAGCTGTAGATGCAATGTAACTTAAATTTGACAAACGAACCATCAAAATAAAGTGTGACCGAGACTGAATATTTATACATATAATGAACTATGTGGTCACATTTAGAGATTATTGATTTGAATCATTGTTCAATCATCAATTTTATTATTCATATTAAATGCTCTTATCCAAAGCACTTTGCATTTAAGCAGTACATTTTGTCAACCTCATAACTTCATCATTTTTTCTCCATCCTCTACTGTTTTACCATGTGAATTGACCTTTAACTTCTTTTTCTCACTCTCCATGAAAGGTTTCGTTCAGCATTGAGGCCAAACTTCACGGCTGCCCCAAACAGAAGAGTCAGACTTTTACAGTGAAGCCAATTGGTTTTAAAGACGCTCTTCAGGTCACTGTGGACTTTGCTTGCGATTGTACCTGTCAGCAGAACTCGGTGCCTGCCAGCCCATACTGTCATGAAGGCAATGGGACGCTGGAGTGCGGCACGTGCCTGTGCGACCCGGGCCGACTGGGCTCCCGATGCGAGTGCAGTGAGAGCGAATATAAACCCACTCAACAGGACAGCTGTAGCCCCAGTCCAGAGGCACGGACCTGTAGTGGACGTGGAGACTGTGTGTGCGGCCAGTGTGCCTGCCGCTCAAGCAATTTTGGAAAAGTTTGGGGTCCGTTCTGTGAATGTGATGACTTCAGCTGCCCTCGCTCTAAAGGACAACTGTGCTCAGGTGAAGCTGCAAACACACATAATTTTTTGTGCTTACATATACAACTCCAAATCAGAAAAAGTTAGACAGTTTAGAAAACGCAAATAAAAAAGTAGTGCTTTCAAAAGTTACTTTGATTTTGTTCATTGCAGACAATACAACAAACATTATTTAATGTGTTCCTCGTGATTTTTTTTTATAATAAACACATATTTAAATTTTGATTCTCGCAACACATTTAAAAAAAACATTTTAAACATGAAAACATTTACGACTTTGTATTATTGCTGTTTTATTTCACAACATTTAAAAGACGTCTAGGGACTGACACCAAGTGATGAAGTGTTTCAGGTAAAGTTTTGTCCCAATTTTCCCTGCAAACAAGTCTGAAGTTGGCCAACAGAACAGGGTCTTTGTTTTTTTTTTTTTTTTGTTTTTTTGTTTTTTACACATTCTCTATTGAAGACAGGTTGGGACTGCAGGCAGGCCAGTTAAGTACCTGTATCCTCTGTCTTTTATTTTTTTTTTTTTTGCATTGTTGAAATTCAACTTTTTCTGATTTGGAGTTGTATTTGCATCAGTCAAACTGACAAAAAAAATTGTTAAGCTAAAGTTAAACTTTAAAATCTGATGAAGTTATTACAATAAGTTAGGATGGCATCATGGCAAAGACTAAAGAAATTAGCCATTACATTCATTTTTAAAACTATTATGATTAAATTTGTTGGGGAAAAACTGTTAAACAGCACTTGGGAATGATTTGAAAAATAATTAAAATATCAAAGGAGGAATAATAATTTTGTCTTCAACTAAGTTTATATTATTGTAAATGCAATATATATATATATATATATATATATATATATATATATGTTATAAACAATAACAACAGTAATCTGATTTTAAATCACCAAAAATATCGGCTGGGTCACCTAGTATGGTTTTTTTCTTTTTAACTTAAATGATTAAAACCTTTTTAAAATACATATCTTTTTGTAGCTTTAGTAGAGAGTATAACTTTGTAAGTCTCAGTATAATAGGTCCAACTTTTGGTCACACTTTATTTTGATGGTCTGTTGAATTTAAGTTACATTGCATCTATATGCCAACTAATTCTCATTAGATTATAAGTAGACTGTTTGGTTGGGGATAGGGTTAGTGTATGTTGACTTGTACTTGCAAAGTTTCTTATAGTCAGTTAAATGTCTGTTGAAGGAGCATATCAACTGATATTAAGCAGTCTACTAATACACAAATATACCATCAAAATATAGTGTTAATCATGTTTTCAATCTACTTTGTGACAATAAATGGTGCCTAAAAAATGACAGAAACAGAGCTGTTTGCTATGAACTGTACACAAAGCACTTTATTATGCAGCAGGCTATTTATTTTTATTCATGATCAGATGTCATGTGAGACTGCCCTCACTCCATGATCATTTCTCATATCCCTTATTGTTTAACCACTTTGTCCCAAGCCAGCATAACTACTTTGAAGCCACTTGAATCATTATACAAGCAATCTATAAAAACCCTTGATAAGAAATCAGTTCAATTTCACCATAGTTCAATATTAAAGAAATACAACCTGCTTAGTTGGGAAAATTCGACTGACTGAACGACTGCTCACCGAACTACTAGAGGTGGTGAAAGAGTGGTGTATTATTCCTCTCAAAAAAGTAAATTCAGTCAGTCAGTGTTTTCAGAGAAAGCTGCTAGGGAATTGAACTCAACATTTCACCAACAATTAGAAGATCATGCACTTTTCGTTTTTTTCAGTCCCATGTTAAAAATTGGTTATTGACACATCAGCATTGTCAGCATTACTGTATTCTTGACACTTATTTGTACTGTTTGTCTTTGGCTCTTTGTCCTCTGCTGCCATTAGTCTGTTTTTGTTTTTTTACTTTAAATGTATTATATATATGATAGTGTATTCTGTTATTATGCTGTGCTTCTATTTTAAGTGTGACTTTTTAACATTCAATAAGGGGTCTACAGATGAAAAATAGCCATTATTGGCTAATTCTGGCACATTTTACAGTAATGTTTATTAATGTGCATTGACCCTGTAAACAAATAAACTAAACTAATAATAATAACTAAGGTAAGATGAAAGGGAAATGCCATTGAAAATTGTTCTCAAGACAGTTTGCTTTAGATATACAGTACAGTAATTTCCCTAAGCACTCACTTTAAGCCTTTATTGTTAACCTTCAAACGACAATGAGTTTGGTTACTCTTCTTAAAGTGATGGATAACCCAAAAATGTACCTTTTTTATTATTTTTTTTTCTTTCTGTTGAATACAAAATATTTTGAAGAATGTCTAAAACATGTAACCATTGACTTCAATTGAAGGGAAAAAATAGTATGGAAGTCAATGACCTTCTACAAAATATCTTATTTTGAGGAGAAAGAAACAGGATTGAGGAAGGAGTAAATTACAACAGATTATTCATTTTTGGGTGACTGTCTCTTTAAATCTTGGAGATAGTAGAAAACCACTGACCTGAAAACGTACAGTAGTATTATGAAAACTGAAAAACACCATTCTATCATTGCATAACAGCAGCGTAGCATTGCCTTGTGTGTTTATGAGGATTACACCCAGCTTTTTGTTCTTGCCTCATCACAGAGGTGTTTTTGTTTCACCATATTAGGCCATTTGATCTACATTTAGAAGCAAACAGCGACTCACTCTGACTCACATATGCTGGATATATGAGATGTTATGGAAGGATGGGCATGTCTGTGCACATTACCTGCTCAGACAGCTTGAAATCACATTATTTAGCTTGTTCGTGTTATAATTTTCGTCTTCTGTTAAACAGTATGTTCAAATTTAAAGCGCTGCACTTGTTGGAAAATGGAAACTTTCAACAGCATGTGTGATATGTTTTGTTTGTTGACTGCTTTGTGGAAATAGTTCTCTTAGCCATTTACTCTTTTACACAGTTTGTGGGAGTGGTGTTAAACAACATGACGATTCATATCCTCTGGGCATAAATAGCTGACACAAACACACAGGCAAACCAGTCTGAAATCATCTTGTGCATATTTTCCTTATGCATTTCCTGTGCTAAAATAAGCACATTGGCTTGGGTAATCATGATGCTTTAGTTTAATGCTTTCTTGTTTGAACAACAGATTTTAAAGATGCATCATGTAACACAGTGTCATCAAAATTATTAAGCAGAAGTCACACCCATATTGTGGTTAGAAATTTAGAAACATGCATGCACTTCTGTTCCTTAAAAATGTGAATAAAAGAGAATGCTTTTGTTAAAGTTGATTCATTAAATTGCTCAAAGGTGACAGTAAAGACATTTATAATGTTACATACATTATACAAAAGAAAGTTGTGCTATAGAATTGTAAATTGTAAAAAATATTTATTGAGCACTATAAATGTAGCATTAAAGAGACTTTAAAACACTAAATCTTTCTTAAGCCTATCAATAAACCTAAGTGTATATTTACTTGCCAACAAGGCATGGATTATAAAACTTTATATTTATAATACTTAAGTTTTATGTATGTAGTTAATACACTGTAAAAATAATAATAAGCAGCTTCAACTGATTATTTAGTAAATATGTACAGATTTAAAAAAAATGTTAACTCTTAAAGTTTCTCTTTATATATATATATATATATATATATATATATATATATATATATATATATATATATATATATATATATATATATTAGGGTGTAAAAATTAATTGTTTATTCGATGCACGGTGATACAAATGGGGACAATTCGATATCGTATAGTAATAGATCATAACCGGTTATTACGTGCTGACGTCATTTATCTCCCTAGCGCGATCTCACTATTATAAAATACTATGGCGAAGGAGGGGAGGGCGACTAAATAAAATGCTCCTCCACAGCACTTTGATTCCTAAAACCAAGCAAAGCCCTTTCTGTCAAGTGAGGGAAGACAATAACTAATCATAGGGGTGTAAGACAGCGCTTAAAAAAAGAAGCGGGATAAAATTTACATAAGTTTATTTGCTTTAAATGCTCGATTTGTCTGAAATGCTCGATTTGTGAATGTATTGTTTTATTTGATGCATTCAAAAAGAGTGTTTTCTTTGAGCAGGTCAAATTAAAGGTGCAGTTCATATATCTTACTGCTCTAAATTGTATTACAAATATCATAAAAATGTTCATATATTTATAGATTTTAATTAAAAAAAATCTTTTTGTTGTGAAGAAAAATCTAATTTTGAATGAAAAGCATCGTCAATGCACCGAGATGCACCGAGATATCGAATTGAACCGAATCGATGGCATGATAATTGTAACTGAACCATGAGAACAGTGTAGGTTCACACCCCTGATATATATATATATATATATATATATATATATATACATACATACAATTATAGTCAGAATTAAAACATATACACGAAAATATATACACACACACATACAGTGGGTACGGAAAATATTCAGACCCCTATAATTTATATATATATATATATATATATATATATATATATATATATATATATATATATATATATATATATATATATATATATATATATATATATATATATACATATTGCAGCCATTTGCTAAAATCGTTTAAGTTAATTTTTCCTCAATGTATACACAGCACTCCATATTGACAGAAAAACACTTAACTTTTTTTTTGCAGATTTATCAAAAAAGAAAAACTGAAATATCAAATGGTCCTAAGTATTCAGCCACTTTGGTGTGACACTCACATATTTAACTCAGTTGCTGTCCATTTCTTCTGATCATCCTTGAGATGGATCTAAACCTTAACTTGAGTCCAGCTGCGTTTGATTACACTAATTGGGCTTGATTAGGAAAGCCACACACCAGTCTATATAAGACCTCACAGCTCCCAATGCTTGTCAGAGCAAATGAGAATCATCTGTAGCTTTCTAAAGGGATAGTTCAACCAAAAAAATAACATTTACTCACTATTTACTCACCCTCAAGTGGTTCCAAACCTTTATTAGTTTCTTTATTCTGTTGAACATAAAATTAAACCTGCTGAAAACCATTGACTTCCATATTGGGAAAATCTAATTCTACAGAAGTCAACGGTTACCGGTTGTTTTAAAATATCTTCTTTGGTGTTACTAACAGAAATACAATTAGTAAATGGTGAGAGTAATCGATGACAGAAAGTTTAAGTTTTAGATTAACTATTCATTTAACTGCACCCAAGCATGAACATTTAATTGACCTTATTTTTGCTCTTCCCAAATTGTATTAATTAATGTTGTGTTGAAAGAACTGCATGAAGTTTCTTAAAAAAGTGAGTTTGTGTGGGCTTCATTTAAAATGAGCACAGCAGTATTGCCTGGTATTTCAGAACTTTAAGTATTTTAAGGAAATCACAGTGTGCCATCAATATTCTGAAATTCATATGTTTGTCGTCTCTGTTAGGTAATGGTGAGTGTTTCTGTGGCTCATGTCACTGTGGCTCTGGATGGTCCGGTGAGAGCTGTGACTGCTCCACCCGCACTGACACCTGCATGGGCAGTGGAGGCTTGATGTGCAGTGGACGAGGTCACTGTGTGTGTGGAGTCTGTAATTGCACTCAACCAGGAGCTTACGGCTCCACCTGTGATAAATGCCCCACCTGCCCAGATGCCTGCACCATCAAAAAGTGCGTATCTATCTATCTATCTATCTATCTATCTATATATCTATCTATCTATCTATCTATCTATCTATCTATCTATCTATCTATCTATCTATCTATCTGTCTGTCTGTCTGTCTGTCTGTCTGTCTGTCTGTCTGTCTGTCTGTCTGTCTGTCTGTCTGTCTGTCTGTCTGTCTGTCTGTCTGTCACAGAGGCCACCTCACTCCTCTGACCTCTAAAGGTGCTCTAGTGACAGATGCTAGATGCCATGCTCTTTAGCCTTTTTGTTAGAGCAACCGACTACTATGCAGAAGGATTAATTAATTTGTTTGTTTCATCTATTCATCCTTTTCATTCATTCATCCATCCATTTATACTTTCCACCCATCCATCCACCCTTCCTTCCTTTCTTCCTTCCTTCTTTCCTTCCTTCCTTCTTTCTTTCTTTACTTCCTTTCTTATTTACTTCTTTCCTTCCTTCTTTCCTTCTTATGTTTTTACCACATTACCAGTATCAGGATTAAAGGTGCACTAAGTGAATTTTGCCAAACAATATTCATAAAAACTCACACTAGGCATGGTTGCCTTGAATTTGGCTAGGTTGCAATTGCCCCCAGTTTTTACCTTCTGAGCTCGAGCACGGTTGTGCCAACAATGCAACAGTTTAGTTTAAACACGAAGACAAGCGCTTTCACTCAATGAAATGGAGATTGCATTAGTTATATTGTTTCATATTATTTTGAGTTGTTTGGGACGCAGTGACACACGGCCAATGTTTTGGCATGGCCAACACATCCAATGTTTGGGCACTCATACATTTTCATGAAAGTCATTGTGCTGCTTGCATAAGGAGGTTATGTTTAAGGTGGCAGCTAAAATTCATTCAAAATAATGTTTGTTGTTTGTTTAAACTACTTTTATAACACAAATCTTGAGTTTTTTGGGGCACAACTTCATTATTTTGTGTTCAATCCACTTAAATTTGTAAAAAAAATAAATAAAAAAAATAATAATAAGTTTACTTAATTCCATCATGTTGTCCCGACAGAAATTGTGTGGATCCCAGCATTTGTTTTACAGTGCGTACTGCACCCGAACCCAACCAAATGTGTACTTCATAGTACCTTAAAAGTTCATAAGTGTACTCAAAAGGTACAAAATAGTACCTTGAAGCTATTAATATGCCCTAGGTACAAAAGTGTTTTGAAAAGGCACCGCCCCAGTGACAGTTTTTTACCTTTATTTTCGAGACTGTATTTAAATGCAAAAAAATCAAACATGCCCCTAACACAACAAGACCCTGCTGTTTTTTATATATTTGCCATCATTACTACACATGTCCCCTACTTTTAATTGTCTGCAAGTGTGGTTTGTAACTCGGTCCAACCAAGGTTATTATAGGTAACGAAAACGAATGAAAAAACGCAAACTAAAATTTTAATTTATTTTTAATTAATAATTTAATTTAACACATTTGTGCCCAATAATGGCTTTATTTTTGTATAAGTGATTGCAATCACAATCACGAACAAATCCTTTTCTTTTTTTAACTTTATTTATTTATTAAACATAAGTTACTGTATGTACAACAACTTGGCGTTATCAGTACACCTTTACATTACAATAAAAGGAAGCAGGTGCAAATAAAGAACTAATTACCTACAATATTGTTACATAAAATAATTATAAGTAAAATGATACATAACTTAATATAATAACTAAATAAAAAGGACTAGGGGTTTTCCTGTAATTTGTACTTTTTCTATCAAAGATAGAAAGATTAATTGCACAAATCCTTATTAACCAGATCTTCTAAGTGATCCGGTTTAACTAGTTCACCAAATCGAACTGAATCATTTGAAACGATTTACGTCTTCAGTAAGCCTTTATCCACAAACTATTTACCTTTTAACATGCCTGATACCCCTTCTGACTCGAAATAAACTAATATATTCTAAGTTATTCAGTTGTTAGAACAGTACACTGAAGTAAGATTTGAGAAGGGGTGAACCGATAATACTACCCATGCGTGATTTAGTAAACCGAACACAAACAGTACATGAAAGCCTGCTGTGACTGTACTAAACTAGAACAACTGCAGCACGGGTTAACCGAGGGCTTAAATGAGAGGATCTGGCGAAATGTACATTTATTTCATAACAGAAAGTCCTAATGGAATTTAAATAAGTGAATCATGGTTCAGTTGTAAAACATCATAGTAAGAAACTTTTCAAATCGTGGTGATGAACTGACTGAAATTATGTTTACTGATTTAACATTTTTGGTATGTTGAGTCCAAACATGGGACGATTGTTACAAAAATCAGAAGCAGACTTGCACACATATTTTACTTAAGGATGCTTTCTTAAGGGCTGTTGTATATGAGTTTAAAGATGAGTAGATAGTAGTGGTAACGTTATGATAGTGTTCATGTGTCCTCTGAATACATGCTTCAAAAAATGTATCTTTGGTTGAGTTTTTATTTATATTTGGAATCTTGTACCTAACAAATATCTGAAAGCTAGAACTAATACTGAAACTAATTAAAACTAAACTAAATCTGAGCAAATTCTACCTCTAAAAACTAAAACTAATTAAAACTAAAAATTAAAACTAACTGAATTTAAAAACAAAAAGTCAAATAAGAACTAAAACTAATGAAAAATCCAAAACTATTATAACCTTGGGTCCAAGACTTTTCCTTAGTGCATCTTTAAATGAAACCAGACGAATGCATATCTTTTGACCTTTTGTAGAGGGCATAAACAGGTCAACATTCAAGTCAGATTTATCCATCCATCCTTCATGTGTGTATAGATAATGAGTATGTTTATGTTCTTTTTCATCTCTTTGCCTTACCATTCAAAGAGAATTTCTGTGTGTCTCTGCAGGGAATGCGTGGAGTGTAAACACTATAAAAGAGGAGGGGGTCTCTTTGAGAAGAACTGCAATCACGTCTGCAGAGATGAAATTGTGCTTGTTGAAGAGCTGGGTATACTATCTACCTCTAACAAATCCATAATACACATCTTCTGAGCACACTAGCTATATACAAATCCCTTTTTTATTTAAAAGTTCAGAATTTTGTTCCTACAATACAGTAATTCTATCATTGTGTTAAGGGATAGTTCACCCAAACTTGAATATTGTTATCATTTACTCATCAAAACCCGTTTGAGTTTTGTTGAACACAAATGAAGATATACTAAGGAATGTTTGAAAGCAGAAGCCATTGACTTTTATAATATTTTTGATCCTGCTATGGATGTCAGTGGCTGTTTTTTTTTCAACATTTTTTAGTACATCTTCCTTTGTGTTCGATAGAAGAAAGAAATACACCAAAGTTTAGAATCACTTGTGAGCCAATGTATTTTTGTCCTTTTTGGATCAGCTGTCCCTTTAAATCTGTTCAACCCTTGGTCTAATGAGGAAACATTGAAAGAAGTAGTTGATCCACCCAAACCTCCATCATTGAGCAGGATGTTTTACAATAGTAGGTTTAGAAAATAATAACTGTCATTCAGATTAGTCACTGCTGAAATGCGGAAGTTTTGAGTGTCTAAATCCTGTGTGCTCACATATTCACCTGTAAATATTTATGAGAAGTCCACACTAAGTGAAGTTAGGGAAATTGTCCAATCCTTGAATCAAAACACATCTTATTTATACACTTTGGTTAAGCTGTGAAAACAACTTTAACCAATGACTATAAGCCTAGAGAAAATCATTTCTCAAAAGGCGTATTGGGTTATAAAACTTCATATTTAATGATCAGAGCTATCAGTCTATGGAGAAACTGTAGTATTAACAATGAGCATCTTTAGACAAGAACAGGAAACTCAGTTTCAGCTGCATTTCTGTCTGGCTGTGTATAGCTAGTAAAACATTTTACAAAATACCTGGAAAAAACCAACAAACAAAAAAAAAACAGTTTCTGCATTTGTGATTCACAAGCGTGTTCCTATTATTTATGACTGTGAATTGCATTATGATACCTTGATCTAAACTCTGTCGACTACTAAAATTCAACTTTACAATAGAACAAGATGATTTTTTTTGTAATTTTAGAAGTTTTTAATAATATATAATATAATATACTCCATAAAATAACAGAAAATGTGCTGGCAGGTTAATACAAGATTTTTGTACCATAATATACAGCGCCATCCCAGACAATATATCACTTTAAACTATTAAAAATGTTAATAAAATTCCCATTGTCAAACATTTCAAGGTTAATAGTAGTTGAAAGAAAGATCAAGATGTCATAATGCATTTCAAAAGCATAAGTGAATAAGAAAAGAAAAAGAAAAAAAACGAATCACAAAATACAGAAAACTGCTAAATTATGATTTTTTTTTTCAGTGTTTATTTTTTTCTACAACAGCAGTTAAGATGTTGTAAGTAAAAAAAAACGACAGTTTATGTTAACACATTTGATTCTTTCTATTAGGAGAGAATAACTTTGTCATGTAGATCTGTAAAACGTGTGACCTTTTAACAAAAAGCTACATTATGCATAGCACATTAATATTGGTAAAGGCCTAAAATGGCACTTATGAAACAAGTAATAGTCTAATTATGTCATTAAGTTAATCAGTTAATTGACTACAGCAAACCTTAGTAAATCACCTTGCATTATTGACTTAAGTGCTATCCCATAAATGTGGCATCCAAACGAATCTTCTCCTGCAAATTTACAGACGAAACAAGTCTAGCCAGAATGCTAAAAGATCCACTAAATGTTTTCAAGGTAAGGGGTTGCAAACAACTTTTATGGGCTAAATTCAAACAAACAAATGAAGTTGAACATTACTGAATTTAATTTGTTTGATTAAATTCAACCCATATAAATTACTTGCAAAGTTACCTCAACAAATTCAGTAAATCCAATTAATAATTGTTTTTTCAGTGTACAGTGTCCAAGCCATTTAGCAATAAGACTTGAGCAAAATCCTGGCAGTGCTTTTTTTTTTACACCAAAATAAGCTTCGCACTGGCTAAAATGTTGGTAAATTCCACCGACGTTGCATAAACATGTCTCAGATTTTGCCCAAAAAGAAAATTCTGTCATCATTTACTCATTCTCTACCAGTTTGAGTTTCTTTCTTATGTTAGCAAGATATTCTGAAGAACATTGGAAAAAAACAGCCATTGTCTTCCACATAATTCACCAAGAGTTCATAAAAGTTTAGAACCACTTGAGTGTATGTGCTAAATGGTGAGGAAATTTTAGTTTTTGGGTGAACTTTCCATGTAATAACCCCATCATTTAGCTCAGCTTCATTTAATTTTGACTACATCTTAACCTTGTCTTCTTCTTGCATTATTTTTTGTTCAGATGTTCTTGCTGAGTTAATAATCATCCGTTCTTTCCAGGATTTTTTGAGACGAACGCAGTGAACTGCAGTTATAAGGACGAGGATGACTGTGTTCAGAACTTCCAGTATTATGAAGATGCCAGTGGAAAATCTCTTCTCTATCTTGTTAAAGAACCAGGTGAGAGGAGAGACGGGAACGAGAGAGACGATGTGTGACATGAAGTTGTCAAACATCGCTGTCTGTCTCTGTGTGAGAGACAGGTAGTTACTTGCTGTACTGCTCTCACGGCTATTTAAAGGCATACTGAAGTGGGAAAATTGCTCTGTAAAACGAGTCTTTAGTCATTGCTGGTTTTTCACAGACTGTCCAAAGGGTGCTGATGTGTTGGTGGTCGCACTTGCTGTCGTCGGTGCCATCCTGCTACTGGGTTTGGCTGCTCTCTTGATCTGGAAACTGCTGATCACCATTCATGACAGGCGTGAATTTGCAAAGTTCGAAGAAGAGAAAGCCAAGGCCAAGTGGGAAGCGGTGAGACACATTATATCTGTATTGTGCTAAACTAAATTTATTTTGTCAATGTAAATAAGGACAAAAAAATAATCATTGGCTAGAGCTGGACACAAACCAATCTGTCTGAAAACTATGAATGTGCTCGCTCTGATGCACTCATCCACAGGCTAGTTGTGAAAATGTACCCCCGTATATGTTTCTGGAAAGTGCGAATTATGTAGCCAGAGCTACATATGGCTGATTTCGTATTTAAAACGAATGCTACAAGGCGGTATGATGCTGCCGATGGCTTCTTGTTCTTTTCACTCAACCAGCTTACCTCCCTGTGGACGGCTTTTCCCGCTGTTACCAGTTTGACTAGTAGCTCACAGCATATGTTGGCGGACTTGAGACACAGAGAGTAGTTGACCTTGGCGATGGGGTTTGAGTCTGCCGAAGAACGGTTTCAAAAAGCAGGTAAAACAAAAAAAAAGGCAAAAAATAAAATAAACATGTAAATAACAGTGTGAGAATGTGGTAAGATCTGAAAACGTGGTAAAAATCAAGCTGCAGCGAAGGCTTTTTTTCTGGATTGCTTTTATAAACACTGTTGGTTGGGTTTAGGGAAGGTGGTGAGTCAGGCAGTCAGTCGACAGTGCCTCTAGTGGATTTATGCAAGAACAGCAGGCACAAACGGCACTCGCAAGAGAAATTTAAGATCGTAAAAAGCGTACACATTAGCCTCTGATGGATTCGCGAAAACAAACTGCAAGAAAACCTTCTTCCTGGGATGTATTTCGCACTCTCCATAAATGTATACAGGGGTATGTATCAATAATGAGATTGGGTTGCAACTATGGAATTATTGTTGATGGGGAAAAGAAACACGAGACTTAAAAGATAAAAACTAACCAACGTTATTATGCTGTTTATTCATTGGATGCGCGGATAAGAGTGCATACATTTTGTCACATTACTGGCACAGTTTCAAGCCACTTCCACCATTTCTGTTGACGAAATTACCACTGTGCTACACCAACCACTTTCTGTTCAGTGTTTTCAGTCCTGTTTTAATCTCACTTCCTCACAAACCCAGGGTTTCCATGAGTTATGGAATATCTGGAATATCATGAACATTTAAAAAGGCCTATTCCAGAAACTGAAAGTCATGGAATTTTATAGAATTCCATCCAAGTCACGGAATATCTTGGATTTTTGTTTGTCATTTTAAATATGACTCCCAGCATATACAGTTGAAGTCAGAATAATTAGCCCCCTTGAATTATTAGCCCCCCTATTTATTTTTTCCCTAATTTCTTTTTAACTGAGCGAAGATTTTTTTCAACACATTTATAAACATAATAGTTGTAATAACTCATTTATAATAACTGAATTATTGTATCTTTACCATGATGACAGTAAATAATACTTGACTAGATATTCTTGAAGACACTTCTATACAGCTTAAAGTGACATTTAATGGATTAACTAGATTAATTAAGTTCACTAAGCAGGTTAGGGTAATTAGTCAAGTTAGTGTATAATGATGGTTTGTTCTGTAGACTATTAAAATAATTTGCTTAAAGGGGCTAATAATTTTGTCCTTAATGTTTTTTTTTTTTTTTTTTAAATAAAAACTGCTTTAATCCTAATTGAAATTAAACAAATAAGACTTTCTCCAGAAAAAAATACAAATATTATCAAACATACGGCGAAAATTTCCTTGCTCTGTTAAACATCATTTGGGAAATGCTTAGAAAATAAAAAAATCAAAGGGGGGCAAACTGTATGTAAATAGAAAAATGGCCAATTTTATATATGTCACATATATTAAAAACCTATATCAAAACCCATGTTAAACATATGTTTATATAGGTTATTTCCATGTAGGTATCAAAATGTTTTTTTTTTTTCTGTACTGTGATACCACATTGTTTTTGTGTGTTGTGGTTAAACTATATTTCACTGCCATTTTATTCTTTTCCTAATTTTTAACCAGCAATCATATGCAATCACCAGGCTATATCTGTTAAAATACTAATAATTTAAGGTTGATTTTGATGTGCTCAGTGCTCAACCAGTTCAAAAATAATGTTTATTGCAGCCTAAAATGACTGATTTTGCAGCGCCTTTTCTCAAAACTTGCAGCAATATTTGTGCAATTTAATGTGTTGTTTTTTTTTTTTTGCTGGGACTGAATGTACATAGCTATAATGTCACACGGTGCGTCTAAAGCGGGTCACACACCTTAGAAGAATCGCAGCACCTAACCATCCGGAATGTACTTTATTCTGCTTGTTACATGGCTACTTGCCACAAATAATAACATAACAGTTAAATGCAAAATATTGCTCTGAGCCATAATCGTTTAATAAACCTTTAAATAAACGCAAAGCTGACAGATACAAAAACAGCTGGATGGAGTATACACTAACTGTGTGGCAACAAATAATCAAAAACACAAGCTGACAGAAATAAAATCAGATGAATAGAGCATAAACATATTCATTAATAAGATGGCCCCCAAACAATTGAAAACAGTCAAAAACATTGGCATGACAGACAAATACAGATACATAATAATGTTGATGAAGGTATATGGATATGAACGTATATTTATTGATGGTCGAGATTGAAGTTCCCGGATGAGCCTGTGTTATTTAGCGGTTATTGTCTCAGAAAAATGTTGCGACTGACCAATGACAATCAAGTATTCCAGACAGCCATGTTATGAAAAGAAAAAAACATCTTCAAACAGTCACAGGGGTCCTGCCTGATTGGTGGTTTTGATACAATTTCGACACCACATGGTCATACTAAGAAGTGCCGAAATGCTTGTGGTTGTTTTTTTAAACTTTTATTGTATGTATTCGCATTACAACACTGATCATTAATGTCTCTCATCTTATAGGCTAATAATCCACTCTACAAAGGAGCAACCACCACCTTCCAGAATGTAGCATATCGTGGCAGTTAAGAACAACGACTGCTTGTGTCGAGGACAACTACTGATCTCACATCTCTGCCAATCACAGTTGGTATTACTCAGACTTGTGATTGGAACTGAATTGTGCTGACTAATTCAGAATGTACCAAAAGTTAAAGTTTTTATTATTATTATTATTATTATTATTATTATTATTATTATTATTATTATTATTATTATAAGTCAGTTAAAATACACCAGTGTTCAAAAGCTTGGGGTCAGAATGTTTCTGATTGAACTAAATTAAAGAATCCTAGTTTCGATCTCAGGTTTTTTTTTTTATTATTATGACCCCTTTACATTTTTTACTCTGTTATATTTGCTAAAATCATTATAGTTCTTTTTTTCTTCATTAATGTACACCCAGCACCCAATATTGACAGAAAAACACAGAATTGTTGACATTTTTTGCAGATTTAAAAAAATAAAAAGAAAAAAAAGAAAAACTGAAATATCACATGGCCCTAAGTATTCTGAGCCTTTGCTGTGACACTCATGTATTTAACTTAGGTGCTGTCCATTTTTTTCTGATCATCCTTGAGATGTTCTACACCATAATTTGAGTCCAGCTGTGTTTGACCATGCGGCTAAAATAGGAGTGGCTTCACAACAACTCTGTGACTGTTCTTGAAAATCTACAACCTAAAAATGGCTGTCCACCAACGGTTACCATCGAACCTGACAGAACTGGAGATGATCTACAAGGAGGAATGGCAGAGGATCCCCAAATCCAGATGTGAAAACTTGTTGCATCTTTAACAAAAGACTCCTGGCTGTATTAGATTGAAAGGCAGCTTCTACTAAATACTGAACAAAGGTCTGAATACTCAGGACCATGTGATATTTCAGTTTTTCTTTCATAATAAATCTGGAAAAAAGTTATGTGTTTTTCTGTCAATATGGGGTGCTGTGTGTACAGATAGAAAAAACTTAAATGATTTTAGCAAACGGCTGTAATATAACAAAGAGTGAAAAACTTAAGGGGTCTGAATGCTTTCTACACCATCTGTGTATCAAACAGCACAGTTGTTTATTCAACTCAATTCTATATTTCTAAAGTGCTTTTTACAATGTGGATTGTGTCAAAGCAGCTTAACATAGATGAATAGAAAATAAAAAGCCATCATATTTCAAACTGTGGAACATTTCAAATATTTTACAACATTTATAATAATAATAAAAACAATAATTTACTAAACACCAACACGTGACACTGGTGAGTGATGAAACACTCAGTGGAAATGCAAATATATTTCACAATACCATTCTTTTACTGTATTTGATCAAGTAACTCCTTTTAAAAGCATGAATCTTACTGACCCAAACTTTAACCATCCTCTTCTCGGCTCAGATTAAAATCAGGCGCTGTCATGTACAGGCGAGAAAAAGGGAAAAAATGTAATGTACCTATAAAAACAGTTGTTTACGTTATGTTTGTTGATTTAAAAACAGAAATCTAGCAAGAAAACATGCCTAGGTATAATTCACCCCAAAATTAACATTTGCTGCAATTTACATAAATAAATAAATAAATAAATAAATAAATAAATAAATAAATAAATAAATAAATAAATAAATAAATAAATAAATAAATAAATAAATAGCATGTGCACATAGCATTTAGTAACCCTGACCACAATGGAGTAAACAAAAACAGGAAATTAAATAAACATGTGACAAACAATAAACACTGAAAGCAATGGACCAACAGAAATCTTACTCGAACACTGGATTGTGTTTAAACTACATTTTGAAATGGGATTACATAATAAAAGTCATAATATTATTCATAAAAAGAAAATGTATTACTTTGTATTATTTAAAACAGAAACAGTCAGCAAAGACCTTTTACATTAATCTGCATAATCTGATATGTGAAATAACATCACAAATTATGCTTCATTCCAGGACATATATGAAAAAACAAGAATTTAAAAAGTAAATAAACAAAAATGTTTAAAAATGAAGATAACATGTTATTGTTATACAAATTTATGTAATATTTTGGACAAAAAAGGGTAGTTTTTATGCTTGAGTTCATGTGTTGTTACACTTAAATGTGGAGAGGATTATCTTTTGATCTATATATTTCATGCTTGATTAAATGTAAATATTGCAATATTAAGAAAACACTTTAATCTAATTATTCCAAAGTCATTTATAAGACAATGATGACCTATTTTCCTGGTTACTATAATAATAATAATAATAATAATAATAATAATAATAATAATAATAATAATAATAATAAATATATTAGGCAATATTTTTAGCACATTTTGACAATGCTGTAATGCTGTTGGTGTTTCTTACTGTACATTCCTGTACTAATTACTTTAAGTTGTACTGCTGGGATTCATTTGCTGTATTTTAAAGTGATTCTTTAGGTTACAGTACATCACAAAAGTCTTTTTGTCATTTTATTTGTTTAAAGGTGATGTGTGTAACCCTTTTCGGTGTAAAAATACTTGTATTAGATAATGTTAGATACTGTGCATACAGTTAGTGCATACTGTACAAAAAAAGTCCTTTACTAAAAATTATATATATATATATATATATATATATATATATATATATATATATATATATATATATATATAATTTTTAGTAAAGGAATTTCGATTGTATTCCACATTTTGTTATTTTTGCATACATGCATTTGTGTTTGTGTTTCTGTCTTTTTTTATGTTTGTTAGTCAGGTTTTCTACAATCTGTTTTGGGAATGAACTGGTTGTGATTTCCTGTTCTCCCAAAAAGGTAGAGGAATGCACTGTATGAGCAAGATTACGCGAGCAGCAGTGTGATGTGTAGAAGCCATATCGCACTGCTACAAGTGTAATACTGCATTTATACAACAGTTTGACGGCATAATCGTGTATGTAAAAAAGTCAATCAAACACAGAGAGTCTCAAAACCCTTTGTATGAGGAACTACTTTCTTCCACCACTCATTCACATCTGCAGCGGACATCACTTTAGAGCTAGTATTTGAATGATTCTCTAGCGCAATGTCTAATGACAAAACAGCTGATTTTGCTCACATTTTAAGTTTGTAAGGGTGAACGACATGAAATGCCATCAGTCTACAGAGATTTCCTAGTATTTCTCTATTGCAATCGAGAGATCACAATATTACTATAGTATAAATACAGCACTACAACATACAAAAGAGAGAGATCAAATTAGAAAGTAATTTACCTGTTTTGTAATGATTTGATCAGCTGTAGTTTGAAGTTATGCTGTTTTTTCTTAGGGCTTATGCGGCTCTATTGCTATCTTGTCGATGAACATCAACCATCTTTGCTCAAAGGAAGACTACCGCCAAAGCGCTGTCTCGGAAATTATAAATATTATAAAATGGCACTATCCTTACAAATAAACTGCATAGCTGCAATCTAAACAACTACATTCTCAACTAAAGAAGCCTCAAAAGTATATTGTTGTCCAACAGCTGCAATTTTTGTTAAACTGTAGAGTGTCTTCTGCTTGTTGCTGTATGTGGGCGGTGTAATACTCAAGGGTGAACGGTAAGGGCTGGACAAGTGCTGTCACTTGCAGAATATCACATGGCTATCAGCCAATCAGATTCAAGAACCAGATATCAACAATGCATTTAGCTCAAAGCAGATATTGTCTTTCCCTATCACTGTTTTTAAATAAATCTCGTTTCCGTTAAGTCCTACTGAAACAGGCATGTTGAAATCTGGAAACGGCTCTTCGTATATTCATTCAACCTGCAGAAAGTGTTGCAGATTGCAGTTTGTTTTTATGTTTCTAGGCTCTGACATTTGCACTTCTTGAAGAGTTAGTGACTGTCAGTCTATCAGACCTGTGCCTGGCTTTCTTTGGAAATATGGTAATAAACAATGTTTTATCCGTATACACAAGCAAACACCACTGCAATAAATGATTCGCCGGATATACACTTGCATAAGAAATCACTTCAGACTTAATGCTATTAATGACACTATATTTGTGTGTCTGTCAGATCTCCAGAAATACCATCTGTCTCTGTGTATAGCAAATGTAAATGCTGGTTTTCAGCGGTGACATACTGTGTGTTTAAAATAGCTGCTGCATAGATGTATGTTTGGTTTTGCTAGCCTGTTGAGAGGGGTCTGGATGCAGACCTGGGGCCTCATGTATCAACGCTGCGTACGCACAAAAACTTTGTGTACGCCAGGTTTCACGCTCAGAATCGCTCACGTTTGGATTTACTAACAATGAACTGAACGTGGGAATGTGCGCAGGTTCACGGCAGCTTTCTGGCAGGCGTACGCACATTTTTTGTGCGTGTCTGTTTTATTTCCATTGGCGACTCCTAGAGGCAGTTGTGTTAAATTCTTCTCTACAAAGTGTCTGATCCTTGCAATGGCAGCTGTATGAGAAGGGTTCATATAGTAGGTATGTAAGATTTCCATACCATACAGTTGACCAGCTAAACATTAAAGCACAATTTGCAGCGGTCGCCTGTTTTCCCAATGTAATCTGAGCAATCTACCGCACGCACATTGCTATAAAGACACTATCTGAAGATAAATTTGCATGCGTGAATCAGAAACATTTCCATTCAATAAATGTGCAAATAAAATATGATGCACAAACTTATTAATGATTCCTACTTGTCTTTCTCGTGATAAATAGTGGGCAAAATCTTATATGTAGCGGGAAAAAAAAGAAGAAAGAATTCATCAGACGCTGGATTCGAACCGAGTTTGTGCTCGAACGTGTCAGTACATGATCACATGCTTCTTCTGAGGTGCGCCACTGAGACTGCTAAGGGTACTGCAACATTTTACAGATATAAACCACACTATTTCTTTTTTAAATGCACTCAGTGCGATGTTCAGACCCAACTGTGTTAACCGTATCAGCTAAACTCTCCCACTCTATTTTTTTCTTTTGTTGTTAATTCCGGAGAACAAACTTGCAAATAACACCGCTTTTCTCCGGTCTACCTCCGAAAGCAGCACCTCCAATTCACATTCTGTTCAAAGTTTCTCTTTTTGTTTGATTTTGCCTTTGCTTTTTCGTTGGGTTTTTCCATTAGCATAGTCATTAGCATATTCATACGGGGGAGGAGGCAGGGAGGGGTTTTGTGCTCGTGCA